AAAATATAATCTAGGTATTACAATCAATGTTGCGTAAGTATCACAGGCTACCAGACAACGTCTGGCCTCGTTATCTGGCTGAGTTAGTTAATAACCAGTATAATCGGATTTATAGATTATACCAATTCATTTCATTATGTCGAGTTTAAAGTAGCAGAAAATGGGTTTGCCTCGATAGCTTGCTTGAATAGTTCACCAACATGTGAACGTACTAACGTACACATACATTTCTATTAATAATATCAGTATTGACCTCAAATGTGTAATATATAATGAAAGGAGATCTAAAAAATTATCCGGGCTTACATTTTTATCAATAATAGGTCATTGAATGGATAGAAATTCCAATGTCGTTTGACAGACAATAAAAGCTCAAATAATCTTTTGAAATGGTAATTAAGGTGATTTTTATTGAATTTTATTCCTTGTAATATCGATGTAAGAGAATTTATACTTTCATTTCCAGAGTCGACCGTAGGGAATCGAAAAAATTTTAAGCTTCTGATAGACGGTGGTATAGCCATCTCGTTTACCCCAGGCGTAAAATGTCTAGACTAACGGCGAGCAGCAGCGTCATACGTACAAGACGTTTATGCTGCGATTGTCAATCTGCCTGTCAAGTATGACGATTTAGGCTAATCGACTTTTAATATCCCAAGAACTATTGAATTATTTTTTTGTTTTCTGATATAATGTTATTTCTAAAAAGTGAAATTTATACAAAAAAATATGTATTATTTTTTTAATGTACCACGTTTCATCCAATTCTGAGCTATTTTTAATATTTCAAATCTCTAATTTATATTGAAGTCGGTTGAACAAAACTTTTAATTTTTAATTGTTGCTAACAAGAACATGTGTAGTTCGTCGAAGGCCTACCTCACGCTTTACTTGCAGTTTCACAATAAACAAGTTGATCTGGTTCTGAGGTCTTTGACACACACCTAAAAGGTTTACAAAAGCTTAACGTAACACTTTGGATACATATTTTACAACGGGCTATAACATATTATGTTCTTTTAATAATTTAATAAAAAGCGGATATTCGTTATATATTTTTAAAATAATTACATTTAAAATTATAGTAAGGAGATCTAAGGAAACAGATGAAAAAAAAAACATGCAAATTATTTTTTTTATTTAAAATCTAAAACAAAAAAACAACTGATTTTCTTCCTTCTCTGACCGACTAAAAACGTTTTACTGCTATTTATTACACTATTATATCATATGACAGTGCCTGTTATTGACTTTAACGAGGAAATGGTAGGATATATCGACGGTTTCTCTTTCACCACTATCATGGTCAAAAGTGAATCATGTTAAACTTAACTTACCAGATTGATTTAGCTTAATTCTACGTCGTAAAGTGACGTTGCAACTGTATGACTGCATAACGAATAAGTTGGCTCTATCGCTTAAGGGCCACGCTAGCATAGATTACCAGCGCCAAATGGAACTGAATAATAGTGCTATGTTTTGTATGGCGAATTTTTTTTTCTGATAACGAGGCTAGTTCCTTGTCACATGTGACAACGCACCTGCGTCTTTAATGATTAATTAAGGATAGATTTAGACGTGAAAGTGCCTCAGAACTCATCACTGTTTTACGGGTTTAAGGGTAACAAACGTGCACACAATCCTGCAAATGGTACATGAATGCTATACTATAGACCGTTACCGTTACAACCTATTAAATTCCACTGTTGAAAATAGGCTTCCTCTATAGATTGCCACATAGAGGGGATATTTGCCATAGTTGCAACGCTTGGTGAGGGGGCTGGCAACCGCAGGTTATCAATTTTAGTCTTTATTAGGGAGACGCTGCTGCCCGTCTCTTGCTTTCCCTCTGTCGCTCTTACTACACCCACGAAACGATATGGGGTAGTGCATATTCTTACAACTCCACTACACGGTAGATGCCACAGGAACATTTTATGGATTTAAAATCGAAATACCTTACCTGTAATAAATAAAACAGAATGACTCGTTTCCAGTAAAAAGTATCTTCGGATCTCTACGATTACCATACAAAACAGAGCTACTATTCTATTTTACTAATTACTAGTATTCTATGAGAGGTCTTTCCACGAAGTACCCGTCGAACCAACCTATTCATGCTACAATCATAATATAGCTGCAGCGTGGTTCTACCACGTAAATCTGGTGGAATATAGTTTTGTCACCATTAATTGAATAAAAAAATTATTCGTCTAATAATATAATATAATAAAAGAGAAAAACTATATGAAATGTTTTACTAACAATCGAGTACACTAAAACTGGCTTTGTTAAATCCCAGACGGATGCATTTGCTCATACAAATGTTCGAGGATATCCAACCGACTGCATAATATAATGACCGCAGGTAACAAGCCGTGAAAACAGAAAGCGATTCATAATTAACTAACAGTGTAATCGCGTAGCGACGTAATACATGTTGTAATTACAAACGATTAATATAGGTTTTCATTCGAACGTTATGATCAACGATTAAATATCTGTTAATTTATAATTTTAACGCGGAAAACTTATTTTCATATTTATTTAGGACGTTCTCAAATCAACTTTAATGAAGTTAGAAAGTTTAGAAAATAAATATTTAGACAAGTATTTTATGCTCGTGGTTATTCATTTTTATAGTAACCGCTCCTAACAGAATCGTGAAAAAGAAAATCAGAACCTTGCTGTAGCGGTGTAAGAATATCCTCTACCCTAAATCATGATTGGAGGTCTATGTTCAGGAGTAAACTTTTGATAGGCTCTCATACTAATGAAGTGACCCGAATTCAATATCCGTCAGCACTGAAATTGTTATTTGCAATTTCAAGTGCTGATTTACCTCGATCTCGGTGTAGAAAAATATCTTGCAAATCAGAATTCTTAAAAAATAAATAAATATTTTTCATGGATATCCTCTTAGAAATGAGAGGAAGCTTGTCTGCACAAATACGAAAATAGTTATATTTAAAAAGTGATATACGTTCTGTAAATACCAAAAAAAAAATCTAGTGAAACCGTAATCAACTCCAAAGAGTCGGTAAATCTTTCATGGGGCATTTTCTAAAATTAAATGCGATAGAATCCAAAACAAAAATGTTTTTTTTTATTTACTCTTTTTCATAATAAGTTTGCGAAAATCCAGTCTTGAACAGTGACCTCTCTCGCTGTAGGGAGGATTAAATATGTTAGTAAGTTTTAATTATAAAACGCAAATTTAACATAAAACACGCAGCAAAATCGACTCGTCGACAGTACTGTTACATCTTTATTATAATAGACTATATCCAATAATTGCAATAATGATGGACTTCTTTTCCCTAAATACTCTAACGCTACTCAAATTTAAGAAGCTTTCACGTGTCGTGCTGCCTCTATCACTTTAAGTCAAAGAAACTTAACGAGACGAGACTTAAAGACGTTTAGGTATTTTGCCATTTATATAACAACACCAAGTACTCCCACTAAAAATGAATTTACAATGGTGTTAAATGTATGTATAGCAAATTGGCTGTGCTGACTGTAACTGTGTGATGCTATGCTATCTAGCAACCTTTGAAACTACTCGTACTCATATTTTGTCTTTTCTTTTTTGGTTTACTTGTATATGGCTGGAACAACATTCTGCTTTTCTGATTATTTATGTACACTTTATACTAGTTACGGGCTATTTTTCATAATATGAGGATGGCAAATGAGCCAATAGTCCATAGATAAAAAGGGTACTGCAGCCCATGAACAATTGCAACCAACTTGAAAGAAATAGGACACGGTTTTTTTATCTAAAACTGAAGTGACAAACCAACTAACCGATCATTTGATGGTAAATGACTACTTCAATCCTTGGACACCTGTATGCGACTTCAAATATAGAAGACTACAGATGCGTTGTCTACCCCCTTCAGACAAAAACGCAGCAGTACAAGCACTGCTATTTAGTGGCAATATAGGTGAAAAGGCCTACCCAAAACGACCTCTTAAGCTAAAAATTGGTAAAATTAAAAAAAGTACAACTGATTTTCATATAAATAATATGATAACATCATCAATGTTGTTGAAGTCAATTAAATACTCATTATTAAGAATAATTTAAAAAACCACTGGTCATATCTTGATCAAATTTATATGGCACCACATGGCAAGCACGAACCTTCTCTTTTTTTTAAATTTGACTGACAAGGAGTCCTACCACCAAGTAAGATGCATCACAGATGTTTCACCCTTGAAAATTTTGATGAATTTTCTCTCTTAATCATTCAAACAAAATGCAGCAGGGGGAAGTATTACGACTTGTCCGCATAGATATGTAAAAAGTAGATACCAACAAAAAGAGACTTGTAATAAATGATTGATGAAATAATTATAAGATTGCAATCAATACAAAAACTAATGAAGGATTCTTTGCTGTGAAAAATTCATCAACTAAATTATAAAGTGGACCTTTATTAAAAGTGGTTGATTAAATTTAGAAAGGAACAAATTACATTAATAGCATTTAAGAGACTGTCGAAACTGTTGCCCTTATATTTCGTAATATTCAACAAACACCTGTGCGGTGGATAGAGTTTCGGTTCCACAATTTTCAATTAACTTCCCGAAATTATTCTATCACGACAGAGTATTATCGTCAAGGTGTCTGTTTTTTTTTCATGCTATTCAGAATAATATTAAATTTAATTTTAATTATAAGTATTTTTGTGTTATTTATTATATATTATATAACACGTATGAGATGAGATTTTTATGTTTTTGGTCATATAAGGAAGGCTATATAGTCAATCATTATTACGACATAAATAATAATAACGTAATGTAGTATTTAAACATGTTCTTAGCTTAACCTTAATATATTTACCACTTCATTTAGTTAACCCTACCACCAAGATATGTAAGTAACTCATATTAGTGGGGAGCCATTTCTGCTTGCTCTGCACAGTATCATTTGGCGAAGAGCGCAGTGTAGTGTTACATTCAAGCAGCAGATAAAGACTAAAATCAAGATGTGTGGGGAAATGGACAAAGCAGTTTTGAGAGCACTGACGGGCGCATTACTTTGTGGTCTAGTGTCCGATGCCGCTTATTTACAAGTAAGCATTCATCTTAATTATGTAATGCTATAAAAATAAATTTGTCACATATAAACCAATATTTAGTGAATCCTAATATTAAAAATCGACTTTTTCCTTGAGTCCTCATTGAAAGTCCTCATTGAAATATCTTCAGAGTACTGAAAAAAGACGCCTGTGAAAACTAGAGCTCTTAATTTTAATACTTATAGGTCGCGCATTGATGATTTTTATTTACTATTTAAATAACACTGACGCATTTTTTTTAGAATTTTCTAGCTCTCAAACCAATTAACGGATTTTCATGAGTAATAAATATTTTTGCGGGAAATTGAACGCGCTACAAAAAAATCTCATAAATTTTTTCAATAAACCGAAGAGTTTAAAAGTTATGTCATAATTGTATTTTTTTATTTCAATTTTAGGTAAATTTATTAGAGGTTTTATAAAATTTATAAAAAATTGTCATTTAAAAAATCAATATTACTACGTTTGAAAAGCCTTTTAAATATAATTTTCTTAACCACTCATTCTGGAAAAAAATTGATTTAAATATATTTTTTTAAGAATAATTAATTTTTTACTTCAATTATAAGAGACATATTTTGTAGAGAGTTCAATTTCCTACAAAAACATTTATTGCACATGATAATCGGTTTATTGGTTTGTGAGCTAGAAAATTCTAAAAGCAAAATTTATATGTTGTTTAAACGGAAAAAATCTTCGATGCGCGACCTCTAATATTAAAATTAAGAGCTCTGGTTTTACAAGCGTCTTCTTTTATTGCTCTGAAGAATTTTAATATTTTAAAATATAATAATAATTGTTATATTTAATATTAACTATTATATTGGACCAAAATAAGATGTTGAAAATATGTTACAATTAACCGCGAGATTATCTACCTATCATAGAGGTGACAGAGGAAAATTGAAACAGGAAATAGGCAGCGCCTTCCTGATAATAACTGAAAATAATAAAAAAAAACTGCGGTAGCCAACCCGCCTGCCTAGGGTAGCAACTATGACAAAATCCCCCCTATAAGGAAATCTATGGGAGAAGCCTATGTTCAGCAGTGGACTTTTATAGGCTAATATAGAATAAATTACGTATACAAAAAATGTATTGCCAGTAAATCCGCAAATGTTGTTTTATTCAACAAATATTTGTTTTACACGTTTTACTTTACGGATATTTTTGTAAATGGTTACATAAATTTAAATGTGAAATAAATTTGATTGATAAAAGTGACAAATCTAGTTTTATTCTTTAAGAAACACCGCCATAGAAGATTTTATTTTGAACTAGCTGTTCCGTGTAATAATTTATTACGATTAGATTTCATGGGTTTTAATTTTTTTGCACAGTCTTATTTCTTTTACTAAAATAAAAGTATCCTAAGTTACTCACAACGTCAGCTATTTGAGAGTGAAAATCCCGTCAAAATCCGTCCAGCTATTTCGGAGATTAGCCGGAACAAACAAACAGACAGACGGTCATACAGACAGACAAAAATATTAAAAATTGTGTTTTATTATAAGTAACCTATATAATTTTATATCCATTTAGTGTAAAACTGTTATTTTGACATTATAAAAAGACACTTTAATTTTAGTTATTAGTATAGATTTATTGGAAAGTAAATAACTAGACGACGTATATATATATATAAATATATTTCGTTGGGTGTATATCCTTGGGGGTTACTTCAGTGTCGCTTATAATAGTTACAAATATCTAATGATGTCCTCTATTTAATATTTTAAATTATAGGCTTGCATATTTCGAGGAAATTTGTATTGTGTAGCACTAGTTATCACGCGTAAGATGAAAATTGAAAAAAAAAACTGCCTGCTACTTTTAACAGATAATGGTTTTTCTACTAGTCACACTTTTTTAATCTTAACCTGATGAAACCTTACATTTAATATTTTATAAATTTGCATCTTTTAAAAAATGTGATGTAGTAGCTATAAAGATAACAACGAGGATGGAGTAAGAACTCCCACCGCGAGATTAAACGACGCACTCAATGAAGACGAGAAAAAAAGCTCACTGAAAAAAGAAACATCCCGTCCAAGGTGCGAATTTACGAGATTACTACAGAATACCAATTTGGCGCCACGACGGAGTTTCAAACAATTTCCACTTTAAGGAGCGTTGATCAAAGAAATGAAACTAAAAAGCAGACCTACTTCAGCCGACGAAAATGAAAGTAAATTTAGCCAACAGTAATTCGCCTTTGAAAGGCTCAAGGGAAACTCGAAAGGAAGGAAAATTGCAAAAGTTAGTGTTCCCTTATGAAGGAACGAGTTATTGCTACTAGATATTTTAAGGTTGCAAACCGCTCTCACTTTTATTGCAATAACTTGAGCCTAAACGCCAATTATGTTAAAACTTCGGGCACTTTGGCAGTTTTATGTGTAATGACATGAGTCATAAATTTTCTAAATATTTCAATTTTTATTAAAATAATATTTAAAGGTCTGGTAGAATATGCCTTTATGCCAAATTTTATTTAACAATTTAGGCCAGATCACCGAAAGAATATAACTATTAAAAAATTCGTTTCGGGCACAGTTAGGCTTGTGCACTTGGATTTAACTATTATGGTCAACATTTACAATTGTCGTATAGGATCCACTTTTCATCACAGGTATCATATCGATTAATAATTCCCTCTTTTTTATGCCAATTGAGCAGTATGGTGCAACCTTGTACGCAGTCTCTTACTATGCGTCACTCAATTCTTGAAGTACCCATTTGTCAAAAAAATAATTTACTCTATTGCCGCAAATTATCTAATGTCCTTTTTACATCAAAAGCCGAAGGTAGCTAAAGCGTATTTGAGACGAATCCGCTTTTTCTATCACCTTTATTTCATCATTATCACGGTTTTCTCCAGGCAAACACGGGGTTCATTTGTGAGTTCAAAATTCTTAGAGTGAATGCAATTGACACAATGAAGTACAGTTCGTTCGTTAGTAACGCTAGATGTTTACACGTCAGTGATATTGCGTGCCGTTAAGTCTCGATTTTTTCACTGTGAAACTCGTATTCAAAAATGGCATGACTTTTCATTACTCAAGGAGGCTATGAATATGACGATGTAGAAAAAAACACAAAAAACAAGCATATGAGTGAGTGATTTTGAAAAAGAATAACATTCCTTAAATATAAAATTTATTTTAATTTACTATTCCAAGCCAAACCATAGCTTTTACAATTCAAACAAAACTGGACACCAGTTTAATAAAACGGCAATTTCAGAGGTAAAACCTATTACAAGCTATTCATTCGGTTACTTAAGTCTTCTAACGACAGATCGTTAAGTCGTCGTAAATACATTAGTGTGTATTTTGTTTTACAAATGATATTTTCAAGCACTTTCTGTATTAAAAATAGATCATAAACGTTAAGAAGTGAAAAATATTTTAATTCATTAACAATATCAAATTTGGTAATAGCAAAAAAGCAGAGCAATCAACTTAAACAAGTTATTCCGTGACCCTCTCATAAAGCAAAGGAGGCCTGTTGACATAAGTTGTATAACTTTACGGTCTCAATAATTAAACAGTCTACACTTAAGACATCTCCAGTGTAACACTTTTTTCTATATTAGTCACATTTTTCAGTGCAGCAAACCATTTTAATCCATTTAAAAATATTCAAAATACAGAGTTATAACTGTGGCGGGACCCAAAGAATGGGTAATATTTTTGCCTGGCAGGAGGTATATAGTTTATACATCCAAAGTATGCCTTTGATATTTGACCAATTAATATTTTGAAATTATTGATTCGTGAATTATGTAAAATAATCTGAGCATATGCTTTTCAATTACTCCATATGCCACTTTAAACTTCATTCTGTGGCTAGCAGTAAAGATCATGTTCGATTTCAGCAGACACACTTAGCTTCTACACTATTTTTATATGATTTCGAGAAATTCTTGATAAGTGTCGTAATTTTCCAATTGCAGCCCTGCCAAGTTGGATTTGAAGGGCGCAGGGAAAAAAGGAGCTCATTGACAATTTTACGTTTTTGGAATGAACTATACCATTTTACTTCGTTTTCTATGGCCAGTCAGATATTAATACGATAAAAGGCGCTGATTTTGTGTAAAGTTATTTGAAAAAAAATCTACTGTAGGATAAAACGCGCTCATTGCATTCCATACCGAGTAAAAAGGTGCCCATTGTCTATGAAACCACTCTAGAACGGGCTGATCGCAGCGATTGTAACAGAAAACGCGCTCATAATCTTTATTATTTTATCATACAAGTAACAGCTGTCAGATAAGCTTCCTTGCATAAATCTTACGACTACTTTTACGTTAGGTTTTTAAAAGTTTTTTGCTTATTTATCTCTAAATTGACAATAATACGTAGGGCACTCAATAAGTTTTAAGATGTACGAAAAGTATTCTAAATACTATTAATATTTATTTTACATCTTTTCAAAATATTTTCCATCATGCTCTATACAAAGTTCCATTCACCTAAGCCAACTCTGAAAACTCTTTTGCCAGTCTTGATCTGACAGGTCAGAAATCGCTTCTTCGTAGGCAGCCACGGCTTCTTCGGCGCTTGAAAAAAACTTGCCTTTTATTTTTTCTTTGACTCTTGGGAACAAAAAGAAATCACAAGGAGCTAAGTCAGGGCTGTAGGGTGGGTGACTTAGAGTTTCATTACCAGATTCCTCAATAAATGCTTTTGTTCTAAGGGAGGTATGTGAAGAGGCGTTATCGTGATGCAGCAAGATTCCCCAGAGCCCGGACTTTGGTCTTCTCTCCCGCACAGCTTGAAAAGCTTTGGGAAATGCAACTGTACTATACCATTCAGAGTTGACTGACCTACAATTTCCCAGCATTGACGTCGACAAATGTCCGCTCCGCGAAAAAAAATAGCCACCATTTTTTGCCAACGTTGCGAGGTCTTAACAGTTTTGTCAGTAACTGTCCTTCTGAGTAGACCCATACCGATGATTGCCTTTTATTTTCCGGATCATATAGATAGATC